ATTTTCACTATTTAATATTTATCCGCGTCCCTTGGGCTTGAAATCTTGAGCTCTTGGTCTTGGTTCTTCAAGATAAATTCTTCTTGAGTTGATGGGGGCTTGTTGGCACACACCTGCGACGCGATGGACACTTCACACTCGACAAAATAGAAAAAACACATGCGACACGCAACCGACGACTTGACATGCGAGTTGTAAAAACTCACTAATGTCTTGACCGACACACACCACATTGTGAGACACCATTCAAACACACACACAAGTACTAGATAGCAATGACATAGACTCACAAGTCATTCCATGCCATGCATGCACACACACAAACAAGGACGACAAGCCGAGTGCAAGCCATAGGGTTGCACCAACAATTCTCTCTTCGGACTCACACTAGACGAGTTTAAACATAATAACGCGGTGGGTTTCTGGCTCTGGGTCAAGTTTCTGCTTTTCTCAACTGAGTCAACTCAAGTGGTTTCTGGCTCTGTGTCATCACCATGATGCCATTTCTGCTGCTGTACTTTATTGGTGACACACAAGTGATCAAGTCCCTTTCTCTAACGTTGCTTGCTGTGGTCGCCACGACCTAAGTTTCATACGTACAGTTTGGAGTTTGGTGCCGTTGCAGGAATGCTTGAATATAGGAAAGACTTTGCTCACCTGCTGTTGCGATTGCAGAAAATTGACTGCTCGAATTCGCTCCCAGATAACCAACCGCTTAACATGGCTAAGGCAAATGTGGATGCGTGCTCTGCTTTCTACTACACACTACCAGTGAGTGCTGCGCTTGGTTTTCCGGTGCTCTGCTGCTCTTGTCCCATGAGTGCTCTGCTGCTCTTGTCCCACGAGTGCTCTGCTGCTTCGCCATTTTGAGAAGATTTGAGGCGTTTTGAGGAATCATTGAATGATCTCGTGCTTCACACTCTCAGCGAGCTATTTTCATGACACTCCCCCCCAACCCTCTCTTCTCCCCTGACCCCACTCTCTTTCTACCAGTCGGACACCTGCTCTTCAATTGAGAAGTTCCTCAAGTTAAGCGGCTCCTTGGAGAAGCTCAACCCAGGCATTCAATGCTTAAGCCTCGATGCATCCCGCTCCCTTTGTATCGAGCGTAACTCGACAGCTTTGGGCCCCGTCCGCAAGTGCCATAAGACTGCCATAATAACGAAGATGGATGACTGCACAAATGCAGGGAATGTCCCCGGGAGTGGTATAACCATGGTGGACCTGTACCGAATGAACCCGGGGCTTGTGTGCGATCCTGCGAAAGGCCTGAAGGGCGATGCAAGTGGAAGCATGAAAGTGGAGGTGAGATTTTGGGTGCCTGGATGTTGGCATGGTATTCTTAAGTTGGTTCTGGCAGGTTCTCAGGGTATGGGTTGCGGTGTTGGTTGTGGCATTTCCTCTGCCTCACATTATCAGCCACACTCCCACTCTTTCCCCTGGCTGCAGGTTTGTGTGGATGCAGAATATGACGACTACTCTATGGGTAAATGCTCCGGGGGAGGCAAATTGAAGTACTTTAAAGCTGACACACCGTGCGTTAGCCTTCTTGCCAGAGAATTCAAGGGGAAGCGAGCAGATTTCAGAGCTTTGAACAAGAGAGAGTGTGCCACCACTATCGGGGGGAAGCCTCAAGAGCATGTGGCTTTATGCATACCCTCTTAGCTCCCAAGTGATCTTTGCGATGTTCGTGGTGTTTGTTATTGTGGACTTGATGTTCATGACATGTGTGATGTTTCGCTCTTCTTGATAGTATGATCACGATTGTGGAAGACTGACTTAGTCTTCGCTATTGTCGAAAATGTCAGCTTCTCTGAGCTGTTGATTCTGTCCCCAGAATATCAGCCCAAAACAACTTTCGTATAATATGAACCATGGTAGACATCTACAAGCTAGCCCTTCAAACCTTACCACATTTGCTTTCATCTACTCCCTATAATATTATGAATTAGGTTAAATCGTTTTACTGCCAATTGTCAATTTCAACAGCTCGGGCACTTCATTTGCTCATTGCCGGATCCAGGTTTTGGGAGGGCCATGCTATCACACCCCCTCACAGGGACTTGTCGTACAACGAGCTGTCTGGCTCGATTCCATCCTCCTTCAGAAGCAAACGCTACCTTGAGACGTTGTGAGAAGAGCACTTGATCAAAGCATATACTGGCTGGCTGGGATGCACAATCTGACAAACGGGGCTACCTTGACAGGCTCAGGACCACTGTCACAGTAGAACTTTTGAGCAAAACCTTTTCTTGTTCCTATATGTCTCAACACCCTGCTCTGATTTTTGGTTAACCACCCCTGGTATGAGTATCCACTCAAGTACGCACCTTGCTGCATTCCCTCTGTCAAAATTACATTGGCAGGAATGTGAGCAACAACTACCTCTACTCTGGCACTCTGCCCAGCGCCACATGCACCTCCAGAACACTGACCGCCCTCTCCCTGGAAAACAACTGTTTCCCCCCTAGCGTCGTCCCCTGCAGCCACGCACACTGCCGAGAAATCAACTGCGGCTTGACCGTCCCCTGCATCTCAGTAGAATCCTCGGAAATTGAGTGCACCGTCACCATAGCCTTCGACTCTATAGAATGTGCTGAAACCGACTGCACCATCACCATCCCTTCCAGCTCGGTACAATGCGCTGCAACTGACTGCAACATCAACATCCCTTCCGACTCTGCAGAATGTGCTGAAACCGACTGCAGCATCAGCATCCCCTCTGACTCGGTAGAATGCATGGGAACCGACTGCACCATCACCATCTCCTCCAACTCAGTAGAATGGGGGGAACTCGACTGCGCCATCACCTTCCCCTGCACCTCAGTAGTCTCCCTGGAAAGCAAATTCGCCATCACCATCCCCTACAGCTCAGTAGACTCCTTAGGAAGCCACTTCACCATCCCCTCCGACTCAGTAGACTGCGTGGACGACAACTGCGCCATCACCGTCCCCTATGGCTCAGTAGACTTTCCGGAAAAGACGTGCACCATCACCATCCCCTTTGACTCAGCAGTTTGCGAAAATAACAACTGTGAAATCGCCATCCCCTAGGACTCAACCCTGGAAAACAACTGCACCGGCCACATCTCCTGCATCACCCAGCGCCCCCCTGAAGATTGCTCCGCCTTCTCCGGCCTTTCCCCTCCCTTCGACACGCCCTGTGCCGGCCTCGGCCACTGCCACTGGGAGTGGGGGGAAAACGACGCGAGCACTGCCATGTGTGCGTGCAAGGAGGGGTACAATACTGGAAAGGAGTCCACAACATGTGTTCCCCTGCTCTCACAAACGGAATGTAAGTCGCTACGTGCGTGCTGTTTTTTGGGATGTTATGCTAGTCAATTTTGTCTCGTACCATCGGACGAGGACAATCACTGCATGCTCAGCTTGTGACACGGATACTCAGGGCTGTGTACGCTTTACACTACTGTTGAATTAGTTTCTGTCCTCTGCTTGGGTGACTGCTTGTAGGGGCTGTGTTGGAGAGTCTAACGGCTGCATGGGGTGGCTTTGATGGCAATGGCACATGGAAGAGTGGCATCCCCTGCGAGAAAATGAATAACGTCATATGTGACGATGCCAACCAGATTGTAGCGCTGTAAGAACCATCGTTGCGCCCATCACTTCTTTGTTTGAGTTCTACTTCCTCCCTCCCCCCCCCCTTTCCTCTTTTATACAACTGGCAAAAAACTTAATCTTTGAGTCAACTTGAAGGATGCCACTGGCTGGGTTTTCTTTCATCAACCTCTCTTCCACCTTTCTCCTTTTGCCTGCTCTGTCTTTTTTAGCTTCAATGTTTTTTTTCCGTTTGTCTTCATGTTTCCCCGTTTTACCTGTGTACCCCTCTCACCGGTTCCTCCTCATCCTGGCATGGGCAGTGACGTATCCTGGCAAGGCATCTGGGGAAACATTCCAGACGCCATCACTGGCTTGGAGAGCCTGAGTGTGCTGTGAGTGAATTCTCCTCAAATTGCTGTGAGTGCATGCGTCATGGTGTGGCTGAATATATGCTGCATACTTCATCATAGAATTTGCACCACGGATAAGCGATGTCAGCCACCTGTTTGTGTATCTACATGTGGACTGCATAGCTCTTAATCTCGCCTAGTGTTCCCTGTGTACATTGTCGATGGGAGGATAATGCAGAAATCTGGAGGGTAACTACTTCACTGGTACCCTGCCGAAAGCCTTAGGCAGTCTATTGAGCCTCGTGTCTCTGTGAGTAAACCTTTCCCTGACCCAACCACCCAAGCATTCTGCTTCCTTGCATCGCAGTACTTCCAATCCATAAGGAGGAATATATATTAGGACAGTGAAGTATATCTCACTCAGTCCGCACTTGCGTGGTTGTAGCGATACGCCCACAATTGTGTATGTTGTGACGAAACATGCTTTCAGAAGCGCCTCAGAAGTTGCCTGACGTGATTGTTCTCACGTTATCAATGTTCAAACTTTCATGGTCAATGTTCAGCATCTCTTGGATTGAAAGGTAGTGCTTTCTTTCTCGAACATCTCTGTGCCCTTGATGCATGAACATGCTTTGTTCTCACGTCCTGGAGGTCTGTCAGCAACAACTACTTCTACGCTGACACTCTCCCCAAGACAATGTGCGATGCGTCCGCCCTCGACATGATAGCCATCTCCCTGCAGGGCAACTGCTTCAACTCCAGCGCCATGCCCTGCGACCTCACCCACACCCAGCGCCAAAATTGCTCCGCCTTCTGCGGCCTCTCCCCTCCCTCCACCGTGCCCTGTGACGGCCACGGCTACTGCCACTTGGTTGACGGCAATGCTACGTGTGCATGCAAGAAGGGGTACGGGCACGGAGATAATTCAAGCACATGTGTCAACGTATTGCCAAAATCGGAATGTAAGTGTAAAACACCTGATTGTCCTTCCATCATTTCCCATCTCTTTTGATCTCCTTTTGCGCTCTTTCAGCCAAGGAAATGCATAAGTTGCTTAGAGCCAGGACCATGCATTTATGACGAAGCCACGTTCGCACATGCACCCTTGTGATCTGCTTGCTGGGTGCAGGGCTCGCTTTGGACGCGCTGAGAGTGGCCTGGGGTGGCTTCAATGGCTCAGGCACATGGAACGAAAGCTTCTCTTGTGTGCAGATGTTGCATGTCAAGTGCAACGAGTACAACCACATAGAGAAACTGTAAGGAACGCGCTCCTCTTGCTGGTTGATAAATGCCTCCTGCACCTTGCACACAATGATATCAATCACTTTATGCGCCATGCTGTTATCATATTTCCCCCCTTGGACGTATTTCCTACTGTTCACCTCACAACCCCATGTGGTGGTATGATGGAACTAGGACGTCCGACTTGGGGGCTAGGATTCACGTCTCCGCAGACATCTGCACGCCTTTGAAAGACGCAAGCTTTCTCCTATTCCTTTTGTTGGATTCACAGGAACGTTTCTGGGCTAAACATATCGGGTTTTATTCCAAGCAGCATTGAAGGCCTGTCGCACCTCACATTACTGTGAGTGAGCTGTTGATTCTAACCATGCCGAAGCGCCACCCTCTAAAATCCGCGTATAGCATCAGTTGTAACATTGTCTCGTAAGGAGGTGTGGCAAAAGGAATGGCATGCAACTTTGTGAGGTTAGTGCAAGCGTGTGTTTGCAGAAACATGTGCGTGGGCATGCACGTGGACGCACATGTGTGGTGTGTGAGCCGGCTTCCTCGAGCCACGTGCATATCGTCTTGCCACTTGCTGTCTTCGGCCTTGCTTCTTCTGCCTCCCTCCCTCCCCCCCTCACATCCCGTGCTTCATTCCCCAACCTCCTTTCCCTTGGCACAACCTTTGTCATCGCAACTCTCCGTCTTCAGCAATGTGTCCAACAACGCTATAGCGGGACCCATTCCAGACTCCATCAGCTGTCTAACGAAGCTCAGAATCTTGTGCGTTGGAGTTTGCAAAGGGAGTTGACATGATGCATAATGGATCACACAAACCTGGAAAATCTCAATGAGTTGCCACTCAACTGATGGCTTATTGATTTGGCATTCGCTTTACAGCCATCAATAAGCTGCCAATGAGTCTTGCATTGGTTTGGCATGAATGGCTCCTTTCCTGATTTTCCTATGTTGGCAGGGACTTGTCACACAACCAACTGTCAGGAGCTTTACCAAGTGGGCTCAACAGCTTGCTAGGGCTCAACAGCTCGCTAGGGGTCAACAACTCGCAAGGGCTTAGCCCGAAAGGGCTGTTGGCATTGTAAGGAATCCTCTAGTGAACAAATAGGCGCACTGCATGGCATGACATCAGGTGAAGTGGCCGTTATGCAACCAACTCATTAGCCTTATTTAAGTTTACTGTCTGTGCTTCTCTCCCACATTTCCGTTCTCTTTCATTCCACAGGAACGTGAGCCATAACTACCTCTACTCCAGCAGTCTGAATGCCACCACGTGCAACTCATCAGCGCAGCTGCTCTCCCTGCACAACAACTGCTTCAACTCCAGCGCCATGCCCTGCAACCTCACCCACACCCAGCGCCCCAGAGAAAAATGCTCTGCCTTCTGCCACCTTTCCCCTCCCTCCACCCCGCCCTGTCCTGGCCACGGTTATTGCTACTGGAAAGGGGGGGAAGGCTTGGGCAAGGCCACGTGTGCGTGCGGGTCAGACTCCAATAGGGGAGGCACTCTTGAAACATGCGATGGCCTTCCCCCAGATTTAGAGTGTAAGTCTTGTTTCGATAATGGAATGACGCGTGAGATTTTGTTTTCTTGCATGAGTGTGCTGCCCATACCTGGTGCAAAATCATATCGTTCTCTCTCCATTTCCATTTCATACTCTTCCTCCGCCCTCAACACACAGGGGCTGCACTGGAAGCACTAACGAAGGCCTGGGGGGGGTTTAACGGAAATGGCACGTGGACGAGCGTTAGCGCGTGTGCCCGGATGAAGCACATAACCTGTGATGCTGACAACCACATCATCAGCCTGTAAGCGGATTCTCATTGCTGGCAACCACACTGTCAGTCTGTGTTGGTTAATGCAGGGAAACACGTGGCTACTGTGTGCGGCTACATGGTTACGTGCATGCAATCAAGCGCAGGGCAAAAGCTTGAGGGTTGCAACATATGAGAATTGTGCAAAAGCGATGCCTTTTATTCCTAAGAGCATGGCTCTGGTTCTGCTGAATTCTTGCGTGCCACTTCGCCCACATGCTGCCGATTGATACAGGTTATCAAATGGCTCTCAAGTTGTGGGAAGCATACCAGCGCTTATTGGGAATCTCATCCATCTGACCGCATTGTAAGTGCACACCCATCTCTGCCTGCACACCCATCCGCCTGCATGGTATGCCTTGCTTGCACCACGTCCTCCTGGCATTAGCATAGGAAGGTCGCCATATGATATCCATTTTTTATCCGCCACACGACATCCACTGTATTGTACTTCCATCCTTAGTAGAATGCAGTTGTGCTCAACGTATTTGCAACTTCCACCTTGTCATGTCTTCCTCTTCACAAACCGTGATCGTCTGCTCTCTAGGAACCTTACTGGAAGCCAATTCCGTGGGAGTCTTCCAACAACGATTGGGCGACTTACCAATCTAGTCCAGTGGTACGGGAAGAGCTGGTTCCCTTCCCTCAGCACAGCTATCAAATCTATATGATCGGGACAGATTTGTTTTTTACCCGTATATGAGCTCTCTTCCTTTTTACCATCCTCTTGAGATGGTTACTTACATCTACGTCCGAGTGCCTGACCCCAACCCACCATGTGTCTACTCACTTTCAACTTCTTGCATGCCTTGTTCTTCTCACTCACTTCAGTGGAGTTAGGCTTCCGGGTGGCATGTGTGATAACGATGGTCTATTCCTCTAGACTTACACTTAAAACTGGTCCCTGTTCGACAGTTTTTTTTACTTTAAAACCATCTCTGTTTCAACTACCATCAACCCTATCCAAATGCACCAAGTTTTGAGGCATCTGAGAATGTGAAGTGACCTTTCGTTGTTTTGATGCAATAGAAGCATTTTGCCTCCTCTGCATAACTGAACATGCCTTGGATTCTGTACCCATGCGTGTGAGTTTCTCTCAGGGATTTTCATACCAATTCGTTCACGGGTAAAATTCCAAAGTCGATCTCAGCATTGCAACGACTAGAGATTTTGTGAGTGAATCTGGTCAAAACAGGAGGCGGATTTTGGCCTTTTTACTCAGGAGCACTGGCTATTCTTTGGAGGAAGTGGGGGTAGTAGGAGGGCAAAATGTGGATGGAGATGTATTTTGTGAAAGCCCCCGATGGATGATGGTTGTTGCAACTTGCAACTGCGTGCTGCTAGGTGATTTTTGAGTCGACTAAAAGATCAACTGCGTGTTGATATAGCTGGCTTGTATTGTAGCTCTGTACGACGTCCAACAGACGGAAACCATCTATGGATTGCCTGCCTGCTTGCTGGTGCAGGGAGTTTGGTGACAACATGTTCAAAGGCCAAATTCCAGATGGAGTCTGTAATATGACAAAGCTTACCAAGCTGTAAGTGCTCTATATTGGTGGTGTGATTGTTATTCCTGTTGACTGTTGGAGGGCATTTGCTCTAGTGGGTTCCAATGCAGCAAGAGGACTGCACAAACTCTGCCTAATCGAACCGCTTAAAGGCCGAGTGCTACATAGATACGGGGTTTCAGGGTTGCAAGGAAGACTTGGCTGGTGGGCTTTGTGAGGGGAAATTCAGGCGAAGTGGCAAATTCCAGAGGTTCGCGCCTCGCAAAAGCCCCCCAATTCACACCTAGTGGCTGAAATCGGGGGCATTCACACCCAGAGGTTTCGGCAATTTTGCGACACTTACTAGGAGGACTTCTTACTAATTTGGGCTTTTTTGGGTTACCCAATTTTTTATGTGCGGTTTTTGCATCAACCCAAAAAAACCCTTCTTACTATTACTTCATCGCTGCCCCTTGTTCCCATATTTCTCTGTTCCCACTCTCATGCGCTCATGCCATGTTTATGTAATAAGTCAACTCCTGTTCCTTGATATCATTTCCTCTGCATGACAGTAATATCTCGCACAATACCTTTGCGGGATCCATCCCTGACTGCTTGTCGAACTTAACGAAGCTTAGTATATTGTAAGTCCACGTTTCTGGCATTCTCAGTCCATGCTTCTACTGTTGTAAGTCCAAGCTTCTGCCAGCCTGTATTTGCCTAGCGGTGAGCCATTCTAAAGTCCTTCATGAAGGACGCGTGCAGACAATCCCATCTGCACCCAAATCCCTTGGTCTCACTCACCGCACTGTTGTTGCACACTGCTTTTCCTTGCAGGGACATGAATGACAACCGTATGACGGGGCAGTTGCTTCCCAATCTTAAGGCGCTGAAGAAACTCACGTATATGTGAGTCTCAACATGCTCATCTATCAGCCTTAGCCCGGGATTTGAACATTTGAACACGATGGAACAGCTGCGGTGTGAGATTATCTAGTGTGCTGTGAATTGCTGCTCAGTGAATAAGTTTCGTGTTCGTGCATTGTTGCCTTGTCCGTTGCCTGGTTCTGAAAATACCATGTCTGTTATTTTAGTGGTTCGCCTTGAATTGAACCTGTTCTGTCCTGTGGATGCATGCCCAATAACAGCTATGTGGTTGAGTGTGAAGGGTGTTGATTTTGAGGAGGGGGGGGGGAAGATTTGGTGGCAGATGGCCAAGATTCAGACGCATGAGATATTTGGCGGCACATCACCCACTGAATGGTGGTTGATGCACCATCTTTCTGCACAACGTACTGTGTAAGGACAACCTATGCATGCGACATGCTGTCTAACACATGATGAATGCCCATGCATACCCATGGACGGTTGGCAATGCAGGGATCTGAGTAACAACCGTTTTTCAGGAAGCTTACCTTCTAGACTTACTTCCTTGAAGGCTCTCCGCACATTGTAAGTTCCTCCATTCACCTCTCGCAATGCACCTGCACCTGTTCTCGGTGCACCTTCTGTGCACAACGTGAGAAGTAGAGCATTTTCTGTTCGCATGGTGAGGGGAAGTAGAGCACTTCCGGTGTCACAGGACCCTTTCCTCCCAACACCACACAGGAAATTGGACAACAACAAGCTCAGTGGAGCCCTTGCGCCACTGCCAAAAAACGTCAGATTCAGCGCTCGTTACAACTATCTCTCCCGTGCAAACTCGGTGACCTGCAAGAAGGGCTATCTTGAAAATAACTGCTTTCTCGATAAGAAGCGCGTATGCCCAAAGCTTCCTCGGCGGCCCATGAATGGGTGCGCTCCGTTCTGCGGGCTATCGAGCAAAATGCATCCCTGCGTGGGTCGCGGATCATGCATTCTGGACGGGGTGGATGAAACGCCTACGTGTGTCTGTGATGGTGGCTACGCCAATGGAGAGATCCCCTTCACCTGCATCCCTAAGGGTAAATGTTGTCGCATGGCACGATTTTAGAATTCTCGCATATAGCCTTCGTCTCACCCCATGTGTACACTGTCGGTGGGCTCTAGACCAATGGAGAGACGCCAGACACCTGCATCTGGAGGCTGTTTGCCATTTTAAGATACCAAGTTTAAAGCAGCATGGCTTGTCAGTGGATCCCCTGCTTGATTGTACGGGCTATCACAATTTCTGTTCCAACGGCCGTATTGCAACTTTGTGAATTTTTAGTCGGCTCAAGAGTAGCATATAAGCTGACAGCACTCACATGCCGTAATGCAAACTTTCCGCTGCTGACCTCCATTCCACACTTCCTCTCCACATTCTGTGCATCCTCCTGCATTTCCTTCTCATCCTCTCCCTTCTTACAGAGCAAAGCTACCCCCAGACCGACATGATTATCATCGAGTCCACGTTCACCCTCACCAACCGCACATCAACACTCCCTGGAGAGTACTTTCATGAAGTCCCCTTCAGGCTCTTCTCGTATGAAACCATCGGGGATGATTGCGGCCGCCAGTTCTACTTCAACGTCAGCTTCGCCTTCATGATGCTTCCAAAGCATGCTATTGGGGGTGGCGGGCTCGCGTTTGTTGTCTCTTCCACAAAAAAGCGCGGCAACGGCAGCGGAGTGGGGTATGCTGGGATGGACAAACGCAGCATGGCTGTTGAGTTTGACACGTGGCTGGATAAACAGGACAAAGACACCAGCGCAAATCATGTTGGGGTAAACCTGAAAGGAAGCCCCTTCTCTGTGAAAACTGCTAACGTCTCAAAGGACCTGAACAATGGGAGGATGTACTTCGCATGGGTGGACTATGGCCCCGGGGAGTCTGAGAGCTTGAGGGTGTTCGTTAATGCTTCCAACACCAAGCCGGACAACCCCTCGCTCTCCATGAACCTCTCGCTCTGCGACCTCCTCCAGCCCACACCGAAGAAGAACTCGTATTACTTTGGCTTTGTGGCGGCATCACTACCCCGGCACGAGCAGGAGCATCTCGTGGCAACGACAACCATTGACATAGGCAAGCAAGCTTGCAGCATGCCGTTGCCATTGCAAACACGGGAGATGCAAAGTCAGAATGTGCTATCAATGTTTCGAGTCTACATGTCAAGAACCTTCATCTTTTGTGTACGTTTTGTGTTTCCTTTCAGGATTTACTCTGCCCCCACAACTGCCTGAAGATGGCAGAGGTACGTTGAGCAGCTTCCCTTGTCCTCTCCTGGCTAGAGCCTCGCCTGTCACTTGCAGGAGTGACTTCTGTAGCAAATCACAAGCGTGCACGAATCCGAGGGCGGTCATCGTTGCATATCAAGCACCATCACAACTATTGTTTAGCAGTAGTGACTGCAGCTGCGGTCTGTGCAGCAGTACTTCTAGCCTAGCTGAACTGATGGCAACCCTTTTTGCTGCGTTCTATCCACCCACTCACTCCTGTGGCCCATTGCCCTGCTCCCTGCAGCCACGGGCCTGGTTTTGGATGTGGATACATTTAACCCCACGATCGCAAGCCCGTTCACGCGCTACGTGAGCGTGGGATACTCCCCAGCACAGGACGGGCAGGACTCGTGGAACATCCCCACCTTATCCACGTGGACCTTCGACTCGACCTGGGAGGCACCGGACCAAGGCGATTGCAGTAAGACTCGTGGCTGTTGTGTTGACTTCTAAGTAGACCAGCCTAGGACGCGTAGGAGGCATGGAGCATTTGCAGCTAATGCATATGGGGCAGCAAACACGAGCTGTCAGCCTTGCCATAGCTAGCAGCCGCTTGCCATAACTTAGAGGGTTGTTGCTTTCCCCCTTTCTAGCCACTCCCAATCTTGTCCCGGGCCTGCCAAACTTGCCTTTTTACCTTGCCCCATCTCCCCCTTTCTCGCATCCCATGACTGCAGGCGACTGTTGGGCGTATGCAGTGGTGGCGAGCATAGAGGCGGCATACGGCATCGCCACCAACAACAAGACGTACCCGTCACTCTCCATCGACTCCCTCTTCGAGATCACCAGGATGGCTTCCTGCGAGAGCGGCTCGCCCACCCTCGCCTTTCAGAAACTCGTTGCCTCTAAGAAGGGCCTTCGGAATACCTCTTCTTGGGATTCCTCCCCCTCCTCCTTAGCTTCCGTTCGCTCGCCCTCCTCTTCTCTCGTCGCCTGGTTATTCAAAGCAGTGTGGCACAGTCCCTCTCTTGGCAAAGCCGCTCTTCCTCGTCGTCATCGTGCAGCAGCAGCAGCAGCAGAAACCGTATGTATTCCAGTCCTTTCATTTTTGCTAGCATGCGTATTCCCGGTCTCTAGACTCGCATTGCTGGTCCATGGATCTATCATGGTTCCTTGACAGACGAAGGAGCATGCGAAATGATTCCAAACTTCCCAAAGTGAACCGATCCACATCGATTTGTTTTCTTCCAGGAGAGTCCTCTAGAGAAAGTGCACCCAAGCGAACGCCGATCATTCATGGTCGAATAGCGCCAATTTCCTATCCTGTGTGTACCCGTACCTCTGCCTGCAGGGGAATTACATCGTGTCTGGGTTTGAGCGGACGGCATTCAAGGGGTACTTTGGCCTCATGCTTGCGGTGCGGCGGCAGCCAGTCGTGGTTCACATCGAGGCGAGCGCCGCCTCTTTCGTCAATTACAATGGGGTATGCACTCCATACATGCACCAAACACAGAGGGCAAGCCATTTCTAAAATGTGCACTGCGAAGCCTGAGACTCCTTCTACATTCTAAGGAATCACAAGGCAGATCCATGGTTATACATTAGTCTTTGCGAGTTCATTACGTTCTGCCTGAAGTATTTCAAGTACTAAGTTCATTAGTCACTAAGTTCGTTTCCAGGGCAAGTGTGTGTGCCTGCCTTGTCATCGTTGCCCCATATTGCATTTGCCCCATTTATCTAGTGCCATTCAACTTGTGCCCATTGTGCTGCGGTGACTGCAGTCGTTCAGGTACGACGAGCCAGATTGCTACACAGGCAACCTCAACCACGTTGTACTCGTTACAGGCTACCTCCTCATGGGCACGGATAAGAACCGACCGCGCACTCTTTCACCCTTCTGGAGGATCCGCAACTCGTGGGGCACGGAGTGGGGGGCGGAGGGGTACATTCACATGGGCATAGCGCCAGGGGAGGGCATCTGTGGCATCAACGTGCTGCCTGGCATCTACCCGATCATCAGAAGTGAGTGCTCGAGACACCTCAGACAAGACCACGGCTACCTGGGGTCAAATCATTCGCCTTGGCCACCCGGCTTGTCGACCAGTAATCCACCAAGTCATGCCTAGTTTGCAATCTTTTGCAATCTTTTGCCCATGATAGCTCATTGTGCCTGGCAGCCGGCTAGTTGTGCCAGTTCAGCAGTTCTTCTAGTCATCCCGGTTTTGCAACTGATTGCCGATGCCCGATTGTCGCACCTGTGTTCTAATGTCTCCTCGATAAAAATGTTAGTCCCTCGTGTCCGTCTCCCGGCCCATCAGATTCGGATGACCCCTGTATGCGTGAGTCATTCATAACCGGCAACGGTGACGCGGTCATGAACCCCTGTGGCAGCTACGAGTGCATCGAAACCACAGATGGCGCCTCCAACACCTGTAAATGCAAGCCCCCGTTCGTCGAGGCCCTGAATAACGATGGCTCTCGCTCCTGTGCCTATGGTGAGTCGGCTCTTGTTGTGCATCAAAAGGGGTGCACAATCCTGTGCACGATGCACGGCGCGTTGGGTGCTTAGGGACAGCACACCTAACATCAGATTGCTCACCCTGTCTTCTTGTTTAATGTGGCTGCCTGCCCACTTGCCTGCTTGCCTGCTTGATCCCATCAGTGGATGTGTGCGGTGCCAGCATGCAGAACCCCTGTGAGGTGGGCTCATGCATCAACGATGGGCACGGCAGGTACACCTGCATCTGCCCATCAACGCACATGCTAGACACCACAATCGATGGCTTCCCGACCTGCACCAGAGGTAGGTCAATGTGTCACTTGCTCAAGGGCACATAGGGGGGTCTCCTCTGGTACTCACTCACTACCCCTGTCCTGCCTCTCCCACCCGAATGGGCAATCTCCTTTTCACATAGCGCAGTGCCTTCCTTTCGTTGCGTTTCTTTTTTCCTCTTGAAGGAACGCTGTACGTCCCCTCTGTAAACTTGCTTCTCCCCACATTAAGTTTCTCGTGCTGAATTTCTTCCACGACCTTTTACCAAACTCGCTCCTCGTTCCATCCACCGTGAATTTGATGTGAACAAGTAGCTATTTGCTAGCTTATTCGTCTACTTCAGCAACAGGAACATTACCCATCCTCCTTTTCTCCACGCACCTGCTCTGTTCTTTCCTCCCTGTCTCCCACGATGCCTTTCTGCGGCCAGGTTTTGGCACTGCTGCCACCCTGACGGTGGCTGGGAGGAACTGGCAGTGTGCCGACGTGCATTCTTGTTATAATCACAATAGGCTCAGATGTGCCTAAAATGAGAGAAAATGTGCACAGTCAGAATTCCGTCAGCCAGCTTCAAATATTGATGCCGATCTGATGTGTGCGTGAAACGGTGATCTGTAAATTGGATCTGGAGCGCGTTGCTGTCGCCTATCAGCAGCAAGTTGAAGCATAAAATTCCATGAAGATTTGACGACGCTATGGTGGTTTGACTGGCAGGAGGTACAGCAGCCACTATAGTCTTAGGAGTACAAAAAACTTAGGAAGAAGAATTCGAGAGGGAGATGGTTCCCAGCCTCTACATACCCCAAGAGCCGAGGTCCAGGTTTGTGGTACACCACCACAGAGTCCCCAACCACGAAGAGTCTCAAAACAAACCCTCCAAGGGGCTACACCAAGTGAAATGTAACACTACACGAAGTAGCGTTACTATTTTCACTATTTAATATTTATCCGCGTCCCTTGGGCTTGAAATCTTGAGCTCTTGGTCTTGGTTCTTCAAGATAAATTCTTCTTGAGTTGATGGGGGCTTGTTGCACACACCTGCGACGCGATGGACACTTCACACTCGACAAAATAGAAAAACACATGCGACACGCAAACGACGACTTGACATGCGAGTTGTAAAAACTCACTAATGTCTTGACCGACACACACCACATTGTGAGACACCATTCAAACACACACACAAGTACTAGATAGCAATGACATAGACTCACAAGTCATTCCATGCCATGCATGCACACACACAAACAAGGACGACAAGCCGAGTGCAAGCCATAGGGTTGCACCAACAATTCTCTCTTCGGACTCACACTAGACGAGTTTAAACATAATAACGCGGTGGGTTTCTGGCTCTGGGTCAAGTTTCTGCTTTTCTCAACTGAGTCAACTCAAGTGGTTTCTGGCTCTGTGTCATCACCATGATGCCATTTCTGCTGCTGTACTTTATTGGTGACACACAAGTGATCAAGTCCCTTTCTCTAACATTGCTTGCTGTGGTCGCCACGACCTAAGTTTCATACGTACAGTTTGGAGTTTGGTGCCGTTGCAGGAATGCTTGAATATAGGAAAGACTTTGCTCACCTGCTGTTGCGATTGCAGAAAATTGACTGCTCGGATTCGCTCCTAGATAACCAACCGCTTAACATGGCTAAGGCACATGTAGATGCGTGCTCTGCTTTCTACTACACACTACCAGTGAGTGCTGCGCTTGGTTTTTTCGGTGCTCTGCTGCTCTTGTCCCACGAGTGCTCTGCTGCTCTTGTCCCACGAGTGCTCTGCTGCTCTTGTCCCACGAGTGCTCTGCTGCTCTTGTCCCACGAGTGCTCTGCTACTCTTGTCCCACGAGTGCTCTGCTGCTCTTGTCCCACGAGTGCTCTGCTGCTCTTGTCCCACGAGTGCTCTGCTGCTTCGCCATTTTGAGAAGATTTGAGGCGTTTTGAGGAATCCTTGAATGATCTCGTGCTTCACACTCTCAGCGAGCTATTTTCATGACACTCCCCCCCAACCCTCTCTTCTCCCCTGACCCCACTCTCTTTCTACCAGTCGGACACCTGCTCTTCAATTGAGAAGTTCCTCAAGTTAAGCGGCTCCTTGGAGAAGCTCAACCCAGGCATTCAATGCTTAAGCCTCGATGAATCCCGCTCCCTTTGTATCGAGCGTAACTCGACAGCTTTGGGCCCCGTCCGCAAGTGCCATAAGACTGCCATAATAACGAAGATGGATGACTGCACAAAAGCAGGGAATGTCCCCAGGAGTGGTATAACCATGGTGGACCTGTACCGAATGAACCCGGGGCTCGTGTGCGATCCTGCGAAAGGCCTGAAGGGCGATGCAAGTGGAAGCATGAAAGTGGAGGTGAGATTTTGGGTGCCTGGATGTTGGCATGGTATTCTTAAGTTGGTTCTGGCAGGTTCTCAGGGTATGGGTTGTGGTGTTGGTTGTGGCATTTCCTCTGCCTCACATTATCAGTCACACTCCCACTCTTTCCCCTGGCTGCAGGTTTGTGTGGATGCAGAATATGACAACTACTCTATGGGTAAATGCTCCGGGGGAGGCAAATGGAAGTACTTTAAAGCTGACACACCGTGCGTTAGCATTCTTGCCAGAGAATTCAAGGGGAAGCGAGCAGATTTCAGAGCTTTGAACAAGAGAGAGTGTGCCACCACTATCGGGGGGAAGCCTCAAGAGCGTGTGGCTTTATGCATACCCCCTTAGCTCCCAAGGGATCTTTGCGACGTTCGTGGTGTTTGTTATTGTGGACTTGATGTTCATGACATGTGATGTTTTCGCTCTTCTTGATACTATGATCATGATTGTGCAAGACTTGTTTAGACCTTGCTATTATAAAAAATGTCAGCTTCTCTGAGCTGTTGATTCCGTCCCCAGAATATCAGCCCAAAACAGCTTTCGTGTAATATTAAAACCACAGGCTTAAATAGCAAAGGGGGGCTTCAAGTGCGCCCCCCTTGAACAGCGGGCATAGATAAACATTTTGAGAAACCAGCAAGTTGTTCTGAAAACGAATTTGATTCGGGGGGGCAGAAATGAACCGAGGCTGGCACACGACAACCACTTTTGTGCGAATGCGATACGTTATAAACCAGGCGCGCGACTCCTCAGCGACATCTTATCGCATGTGTTCAGGGCTCTTACAAAAAGAGACAACTCACGAAACGCAATAAGGGAAAGGTGTCACATTTTGCAACTTCGGACTTAAGGAACACACGAGCTCCCACCACGCCGACACAATTGCAAGGAAACAAAGGCTGCGCACTCCCTCATCATACAAGGCCAGGGAACACGCCCCCGAACTCAGAAGAATAACCTTGCCTCCCTGCTCACACAAGAGGAAACAAATATCCCCAACTCTCGACCGACACAGTCCATTCACGGGTAGATTTCCCGCAACGGAACTACTCACCTGCCTTCCCTAGCCACAATCTTCAACCAGCTTTCGAAAGGGCGAGACTAACCCCGCCACCAATAGCAGTAACCGTCGAGTAACGCGATACCGAGTAAGGGAATGTAGCAACCACCTCTGCCCCATAGAAACGCCCCACCAAGAGTGCGAGAAACCCCCGACGAAAGTTGGGTATCCGTGAGAGAGTAAAGCCAATCACTGGCTGCACCACCAGTGGAGAACGCTAAGGAGAAACCCCCTCCCTCCTAGGCTCGGAAAGCATCTAGAGACGCACGCGTGACGGGGTCGAGCGCAGGTCCCCATTCGCCACAGCAGTAAACAGGCACGCCTTCCAGCGCGGAGTACGGGGGACGGATGGAGGCCGACGGGCGTGGCACGCGAGAGGAAGCGCGACCCGAAAGACCAGGGGGGAGAGAGGGAGATACGAAGTGAGGGAGGTACGAAGCGAAGGACCAGGGGGGAGGAGGGAGATACGAAGTGAGGGAGACGGGGAGGGAGGGAGGTATGCAGCGAAGGACCAGGGGGGAGGGAGATACGAAGTGAGGGAGACAGGGAGGGAAGGAGGTATGCAGCGAAGGACCAGGGGGGAGGAGGGAGATACGAAGTGAGGGAGACGGGGAGGGAGGGAGGTATGCAGCGAAGGATCAGGGGGGAGGAGGGAGATACGAAGTGAGGGAGACGGGGAGGGAGGGAGGTATGCAGCGAAGGACCAGGGGGGAGGAGGGAGATACGAAGTGAGGGAGACGGGGAGGGAGGGAGGTATGCAGCGAAGGACCAGGGGGGAGGAGGGAGATACGAAGTGAGGGAGACGGGGAGGGAGGGAGGTATGCAGCGAAGGACCAGGGGGGAGGAGGGAGATACGAAGTGAGGGAGACGGGGAGGGAGGGAGGTATGCAGCGAAGGACCAGGGGGGAGGAGGGAGATACGAAGTGAGGGAGACGGGGAGGGAGGGAGGTATGCAGCGAAGGACCAGGGGGGAGGAGGGAGATACGAAGTGAGGGAGACGGGGAGGGAGGGAGGTATGCAGCGAAGGACCAGGGGGGAGGAGGGAGATACGAAGTGAGGGAGACGGGGGAGGGGAGGGGAGGTATGCCACGAAGGACCAGGGGGGAGGAGGGAGATACGATGTGAGGGAGACGGGGAGGGAGGGAGGTATGCAGCGAAGGACCAGGGGGGAGGAGGGAGATACGAAGTGAGGGAGACGGGGAGGGAGGGAGGTTTGCAGCGAAGGACCAGGGGGAAGGAAAGAGATAGGGAGGGAGGGAGGTACGCAGCGAAGGACCAGGGGGGGGGGAGGTAGATACGAAGCGAGGGAGACGGGGAGGGAGGGAGGTATGCAGCGAAGGACCAGGGGGGAGGAGGGAGATACGAAGTGAGGGAGACGGGGAGGGAGGGAGGTATGCAGCGAAGGACCAGGGGGGAGGAGGGAGATACGAAGTGAGGGAGACGGGGAGGGAGGGAGGTATGCAGCGAAGGACCAGGGGGGAGGAGGGAGATACGAAGTGAGGGAGACGGGGAGGGAGGGAGGTATGCAGCGAAGGACCAGGGGGGAGGAGGGAGATACGAAGTGAGGGAGACAGGGAGGGAGGGAGGTATGCAGCGAAGGACCAGGGGGGAGGAGGGAGATACGAAGTGAGGGAGACGGGGAGGGAGGGAGGTATGCAGCGAAGGACCAGGGGGGAGGAGGGAGATACGAAGTGAGGGAGACGGGGAGGGAGGGAGGTATGCAGCGAAGGACCAGGGGGGAGGAGGGAGATACGAAGTGAGGGAGACGGGGAGGGAGGGAGGTATGCAGCGAAGGACCAGGGGGGAGGAGGGAGATACGAAGTGAGGGAGACGGGGAGGGAGGGAGGTATGCAGCGAAGGACCAGGGGGGAGGAGGGAGATACGAAGTGAGGGAGACGGGGAGGGAGGGAGGTATGCAGCGAAGGACCAGGGGGGAGGAGGGAAATACGAAGTGAGGGAGACAGGGAGGGAGGGAGGTATGCAGCGAAGGATCAGGGGGGAGGAGGGAGATACGAAGTGAGGGAGACGGGGAGGGAGGGAGGTATGCAGCGAAGGACCAGGGGGGAGGAGGGAGATACGAAGTGAGGGAGACGGGGAGGGAGGGAGGTATGCCACGAAGGACCAGGGGGGAGGAGGGAGATACGAAGTGAGGGAGACGGGGAGGGAGGGAGGTATGCCACGAAGGACCAGGGGGGAGGAGAGAGGTACAAGCGAGGGAGATAGGGAGGGAAGGAAGGATGCAGCGACGGACCAGGGGGGAGGAGGGAGATAGGGAGGGAGGGAGGTATGCAGCGACGGACCAGGGGGGAGGAGGGAGATACGAAGTGAGGGAGACGGGGAGGGAGGGAGGTTTGCCACGAAGGACCATGGAGGAGGAGGGAGATACAAGCGAGGGAGATAGGGAGGGAGGGAGGTATGCAGCGAAGGACCAGGGAGGAGGAGGGAGATACAAACGAGGGAGATAGGGAGGGAGGGAGGTACGCAGCGAAGGACCAGGGGGGGGGAGGTAGATACGAAGCGAGGGAGACGGGGAGGGAGGGAGGTATGCAGCGAAGGACCAGGGGGGAGGAGGGAGATACGAAGTGAGGGAGACGGGGAGGGAGGGAGGTATGCCACGAAGGACCAGGGGGGAGGAGGGAGATACGAAGTGAGGGAGACGGGGAGGGAGGGAGGTATGCCACGAAGGACCAGGGGGGAGGAGAGAGGTACAAGCGAGGGAGATAGGGAGGGAAGGAAGGATGCAGCGACGGACCAGGGGGGAGGAGGGAGATAGGGAGGGAGGGAGGTATGCAGCGACGGACCAGGGGGGAGGAGGGAGATACGAAGTGAGGGAGACGGGGAGGGAGGGAGGTTTGCCACGAAGGACCAGGGAGGAGGAGGGAGATACAAGCGAGGGAGATAGGGAGGGAGGGAGGTATGCAGCGAAGGACCAGGGAGGAGGAGGGAGATACAAACGAGGGAGATAGGGAGGGAAGGAGGGATGCAGCGAAGGACCAGGGGGGGGTAGGTAGATACAGAGCGAGGGAGACGGGGAGGGAGGGAGGTATGCCACGAAGGACCAGGGGGGAGGAGAGAGGTACAAGTGAGGGAGATAGGAAGTGAGGGAGGTATGCAGCGAAGGACCAGGTGGGAGGAGATAGAAACGGTCTCAGCCCCCCTTCGCATGTGTCCCGGCCCACCTGGCAGGGAAGAGGGCGGCGAGGAGGCGTGCCCTGTGCTATCTGGAGATCTCGCTAAGATCCTGAGCCAGGCACCAGAAAAACGTCTAAACCTGGCCACCAATATGAAGATTCCAGCACACGTTGTACGCAGTGGGGCGGCTTCCTTGACACCTGGGGCCACGCTGCCTAGTTGGGGGTCGGTATTGCTGCTCTTCATGGAGGCTGCCCCCAAATTTACAGAGAAGCTACTATGTGCCGCCGAGAAAGCCGCAGGTGAGACATGGGTAAATGTCCTGCAGCAAAATGCTGCCATGTCGTGTGCAGCGCTACACGTAGTGCACACATGCCAAGCTGTGTGTTGCGTTGCAACCCATGCTCCTGCCCCACCACGATGACCCTTTGCAGGGATCAAAGAAGGGGGCTTGGAGAAGCTGTTTTACGCCAAGATGGCGGCACACGCGAGCACCGTGCGTCGGGACGATGGTGGTGGTTTACCAACCGCTACAGCCATCAAGGGTAGGACTGCGATACGAATTCCCGGACTTGAGTACAGTTTTGCACCGGCCTCGAATAATATGGCAGAGGGAGGGAATGCATCAACGGGGTTTGAGTGGGGAGGGGCACGGCGGGGAGCTACATACCAGGCCCAGCTACAAGCAGCCGCCACGAGTTTAGGTGGCCGGTCCCGTGGGGTCACGTCCCCCCCTGTCATACCGCGAATCACCACTCGCTTAGGAGCTCTGCGTCCACGGGCACTAGATATGGAGGAACAGCAAGACGCGGCCGAAGATCCGTTAATAACAGATCCACAAGCAGAGGGGATAGGAGGGACTTACGCAGTTCATACGGAGGCTGCCACGGGGGCGCACGGAGTTGGAATGGATACGCAATGGCCCTCACGAACAGAATTGCCTATGGAGGGGGAGGTTAGCTGGTTTGTGGTGGAACATGGTGGCCAGGAGACCAGTGGGGCAGGGGCTGGTTGCTGTCCGTCCATTCCGGTGGTGGTGGGGGTTGGTGCACCAGCTGGACTCGGTGTGAACCGGGAGGGGCGCCAGGTGGAGGTGGAAGAGGGGTTGGG